TTGCTATTTCAGTATATTTAAAAACTAATTACAAAATATTAATATGAATGTACATATGATTTATTTAAATTTTTACATTTGTTAAGTTAAAATTTGTTATGAATTAGTTGAACTATTTAAAGCTTTTTTAAAAAAAATTTATGAACTACTACAACAGGCATTAGGAAAGGAGTTTTAAAAAGGGGTTTTAAACTACAAAATAATACAAATACATATTTAAATGTGGAAAAACTTATTAAATGAGAACTTGTTAAAAAAATATGTTAGAAAAAACATTCCTAAAACAGAAAAAAAATTCTTTAGCAAGATCTATTGTAAAATAAAACTATATATGTATTAAGAAATTGGATAATTGGATTACTAACATGTGATTACTGAATTTTTTTGTCAGGAAAGTTGAATACAAAACAAATTACGCTCTAATCGAAGATGGTAAACATAAAGACTTTAGAAACACCTCGTCTCCGTTTTGTTTTAAGGAGGATAACAAAAGACTTAAGACACAAACCTTAATATCTATACAAAGAGTAATATGTTTTGAGATTACCGAGTCGCGGAGGAAATTTTCTAAGAGTGTTTAGAAAGACTTAAGAAATAAACCTTAATATGGCCGTCTTTCACTTTTGTTAAAAGGAAAATAACAAAAGACTTAAGACACAAACATTGCGGTGAGATTAATCATTAATGTCAAAACAAAGAGTAATATGACATTCTTGTTAGTTGGGAAAAGAAAGTTTGTAGAAAAAAGAAAACTGTTATACAGAAAAGTTTTCTATAGAAAATAACTGTTATACTTTAAATATTCTTTAGAAAAAAAACTATTATATATACATTTGCTATTCAAAGATGGTAAACATAAAGACTTTAGAAACACCTCGTCTCCGTTTTGTTTTAAGGAAAATAACAAAAGACTTAAGACACAAACCTTAATATCGATACAAAGAGTAATATAGCGTTCTTGTTAGTTCCTTAGAAAAATAGTTATGCAGATAATTATTTGTAGAAAAAACTATTATACAGGAATTTTTTTCTATAGAAAATATAAAAACAACAGTAATGTATTGAGATTACCGAGTCGCGGAGGAAATTTTCTAAGAGTGTTTACAAAGACTTGAGTAACAAACCTTAATATGGCCGTCTTTCTCTTTTGTTAAAAGGAAAATAACAAAAGACTTAAGACACAAACATTGCGGTGAGATTAATCATTAATGTCAAAACAAAGAGTAATATGACATTCTTGTTAGTTGGGAAAGGAAAGTTTGTAGAAAAAAGAAAACTGTTATACAGAAAAGTTTTCTATAGAAAATAACTGTTATACTTTAAATATTCTTTTGAAAAAAAACTATTATATATACATTTGCTATTCAAAACCGGTATAATATTGAGATATTATATTGAGAACTGTTATATTGAGATGTTTCTATAGAATAAACTGTTATACATAAATTTATACTTTCAAAAGAATGTAAGGTGATAATTTTTTGTATTATTTTCCTACCAGGATACTTCACCTTTTTCAAAGTTTCTATACTATAATTTCTATATTATGAACTTGAAAGAATAATATTGTTTAATCAAAACTGAATTTTACTCCAAGTAATGTGTAGAATGTATGTGAAAAAATTAGGATCAGATATGTAAGTTGTTAGGATTTCACTCTAATGCCATTGTTGTAACACTCTTTGGCATCTTACTGATACCATGCTCGGGTCCAGATGTTATCGATAACAGAAGCATGTAGCATGATGTTTTCATGGCTTTGGTTTGACGCCTTTTGATTAGGTATTTCCTATGTAATCTTGTGATATCATATGTTGATAAATTGGCAACAATTAGGAAGTGAATGACAAAACAATTATGCAGAATATATTTTGTCAAAAACAGACGCTTTGGCCATATCTCACGTATTGATTTTTCGAATAAAACTATAATTTAATGTTTCATTGCAGGAATATAAAAAAAGTACCATTTGCAAAACGAATATATACTATTCAGGACGATGCTTGTTTAATTCTATATTTCATAGTTTAATTTTAAAAAAATATTCAAAAAGTTCTAGTTTGAAGAAGGAAATATTTTTTCTTATATATTTTCTTTCCATCAGGTTCCTGAAAAGTGCCTTTTTATTTTATAAGGATGCTGCATGTTTAATTTTATATATCTATCTAGGATCAATATTGCTGAAAATAAAAAAGTAGCAGTTGAATGACGAAAAGAATCAGAAAATCCCCATTTAGAGATTTTCATTCAATCGGGATACTGGATATTAAATTGTATGTTTCTGAGTTAATTTTTATAAAACATTCAAAAAGGTACCAGTTGAAGAACAAAAATTACTAAAAAGTCCATTCTTATAGTTTTCGTTCCATTAGGATCATATATATTTCTAGGTTCAAAATGGCAGACAATTTAAAAAAGTACTGTACTTCGGCTGTGCCGAATCTTATATAACCTTCGCCAAGGTGTATTTAATTTACATTTTTTAAAATATATTTTTATTTTATTTTTACAAAAAAAAAACAAAAATCAAATTTCAGTCATAAATTACTTCACATGGACTGTGACAAAAAGGTTAAAAAAAGCAATAAAAACTTAATATGGAAACAACAACTTTGTTTTGCATATTATTTTAAACGTTGTTGTTGTTAACAAGCAAAAACAACGTGTTGACAAGCAAACACTATATTTACTTTGTTTTTATTTTCTTTCTTCTGCGCGCAAAAATTCTTACTTTTTACGAAATTTTCAAAGGTTGTCTTGGATTTTTGCTCATATTTCCGTTATTTATTTGTAAATTTAGTTGATTTTAAATAAAAAACTTCTCAATAGCATGTAGATAAAATAATGAAAGATTTAGATCCCAAAGATATCTGGGGGTCTTCAGAAAACTTATTTTAACAGTCGGACAGACAGACAGGCAGAAAGACAGACAGAAAGACATACAGACAGACATAGGGACGTGACTTAATCGACTCCGCTATCTATAAGAATCCAGAATATATATACTTTATAAGCTCGTAAAATAATTAACGTTAAAGTAATTTTTTGAGGGGTATCTTATATGGAAAGTAGGGTATGTTAGGGACCGATCTTCATCAAATTTTGTAAAGATATTTCGTTTTTTTTTTAATTTGCTTATATTGAATTCCATTATGCTATTCTTTTCAATTCAGTTATGATTGTTTAAACTATATTCCTGGATCCAAGTGAAATCGTGAACCGATCTTGTACATTTTCACCGAACAGCTGGTATGAAATGAAACAAATTTTTAAAAAATTTCAACTCTCTAGCTTTTTGCTTTCGGACCTTATAGTGTTTTCAACAGATGAACGTACATGACGTATATGAGATCCTGTTTTCAAATTTTGTAGAGATACTTTGGTTCTTTTAAAACTTGATTATGTTGAATTTCATTATACTGTTCATTTTAGGTCAGTTATGACTGTTTAAACTGTATTCCTGGATCCAAGTAAAATTGTAAACCGATCTTACCCATTTCCACCAAACAACTTGTATCAATGAAACAAATTTTTGGAAAATTTCAACTCTCTAGCTTTTTGCATTCGGACCTTATAGTGTTTTCAACAGACGGGCGTAAATGACGTACATGAGACTGATCTTGCCCATTTTCACCAAACAACTTGTATCAATAAAAGACATTTTTAGAAAATTTCAACTCTCTAGCTTTTTGCTTTCGGACTTTATAGTGTTTTCAACAAACGGACGGATATGACTAGATCGTGTTAGAATCTATTGAGAACCCAGAATATGATGGTGGGTGTAAAAATAGAAAAAATAATTCCACTTTCGGTATGAATGGAATTCTGTGACAGGCCACTATATCTAAAGATAGTCTGTTTTTTGGGGATTTCACTCATATCTAACTATTTATGCAAAGAATTTGCGATCTTGGTTTTATGAATTTGGGAATAATGTGGTTTGAAATTATATTGGTACCATAACTGATTTACTACTATACAATTATATATTGAAATTAAATACATATAAGTATAATCGGTAGCAGTTGCCAAAAAGCTTTATAAATAGATTAGCTAAAGCTTAATTTAAGCAACAAAATCAGCAAACTTATATTGGACCTAAGAAAAGCGATTATTTTTAACAAAATTTCTACTATATAGCGCTTAACAGGAAAGCTTTAAAGCTTTATATGAAAAAAAGCAATTTACAAAAGAAAAAAAACATATTGTAAGTATTAAAAAGACATGCTTTTAGTAAAAAAATTAAATAATTAAATACCAAATAAATAATTGAGGCAAATATATACCAAAAAAAAAAAACGTTTAACAAAAACGGGGGGTGTTATAAGAAAAGTAATTAACATACCTAAGTACTACGTTGTAGAAGAAAACTATGTCAAATTATTTATAGAAAATATTTTTAACATATTTATGATGATGTATAAATATATTGTTTTTAAAATTTGCAATAAAAAAATTTGGATGTTATACAAAAACAGAACTATGTTTTAACATTATTTTAGCTGTTGTAACAATATAATTATTTATATATATAAAATTTTTTTGTTTGAAACAAATAACTACTGGTATGCACTATCATAATAATAAGGGTGAAGTAAGTACTTTTTCAACTACTTTTTTTTCATTACATATTTCAAGGTTTAATTTTGCTGGCAAATGTAAACGAACGAACGAACGCATGATGTTGATCAAAATTTTCTTTAAGTGTATTAAAGTATTAAATGTTATTTGCATGTTATTAATTATTTCATTAATCAAAAAAGATGTTTGTTTTTTTTTGTTGGTTTTAGTAATATTTTAACGATACTAAGTAATATAGTTTTTATTTTTTTTTTTTTTTTTGATATATATATATTATGTGAAGAGAGAGAGTGGGGGGGGGGAGGACTGACTGATTGATTGATTGATTGACTATTTGGTTTTTAAAATTTTAAATTAAGTGATTCAAGCGATGCTAGTGATGAACGCCTAGATAAACCTGTATTGGCAGGACAACTGACCAGTGATGTGGTGCCGAATAGTTTATACCAGCCAATTACAATGCCATTCGATAGATCTATCTGATCCAGCATTATTTGGGCCACGCCCATAAATACTTTCTTTTCAATGCGGCCATAATCACCCCAAACGGTAACCTAAAAAAAACGAATTATTAAATAAAAAACAATTTGTATAAAAATTAAAAAAAATCGAAAAAACTTTACTTGTAAAACACAGCCTTTAGTATTGCAGTGCTGAAAAACCAATTGCTGCTGATACAATGGTTCCAAAGTACGACGAGCCGTTGATGTCTTCATTTTATCTATACATTTTTTGCCCGAAACCAAATAAACTTTAACATAAGGAGCCGGTAACATTTTGGATGTGGGTTTTTGCTAATATTACAAAAAAATAAACCATTAACAATTATGTAAATGTTTCTTTTAACCTTAAAATATACCTGTAAACCTCTGGCTCTTATAACCTCCACCTCTAGACAGTTTTTCTGACAGCACAGCGACAGTTGTATATCACCCAAAGAAGGAGCCCCCAATACCTGGCGACCTACTAATTGTCCCGGTCCCAAGCCTTCTACAAATTGATTAATTTGTTCATCGGCTCTAATGGTGGGTGAATATCTAAATATTTTTTGTGTTTTTATTTAAAGAAAATTTTATACATTAATTTATATTTAAATTAAAGTTTTTTTTAATATAACAAAATAAATTAAATTTTTTAAAATATTTTTTAATAATATTCATAAAAGTATAAATTCATAATTTTTGTTTGTATAATACACAGGGAGATATAGAAGGCAATTTTGAAAATTTTAAAATAATTTTGCTTATTTAAAGAAGTTTTTTTTTTTTTGTTAAAAAACGTGCATTTTGTTCATACAGTTTTTAAATTTTGCACATAGAAAGTGAAAAATTGCATGCAAGTTTTTATTTACACTGAGAAAAAAAATGTTATTATTTACAAAGTTAAAAAAAAATAACTTAATATGATAATGTTAAATGTTTTGAAGATTTTTATATATTATTTTTATATATATATTAAAAGTGTATGTCATTGAAAATATTAGCTAATCATTACTATAAACCCTCTGCATTACATAGAGGTACTTTGGTAACGTGTCTTATAATAATTTTATAAAATCTATTAAAAAATATACACTTCTGGAATGGAACATTATGTTTAAAAGTACGCGCCGGTGTTTTTAGTAAAGAATCAATATAATTCTCATTTAGTTAAGAACATTTTATGTATAAGTATTTATGGCTTCTTCCCGACGTTGTTACAAATCCAAGTTCATATGTATGCATGGGAATATTCTTATGGTTTAAAAATATCGACCGGTATATGGGACAAGAAGTCGAAAACCTAATTTCACGGTGGTCTTTTTCATCCACAGCGTGAGCTTTTTTGACGACTCACCACCGACTCTTAATCTCTATATAATCTAATCTATATAATCTCTGAATATTTCTGCCCCGTTGCATAACTTCTGAAATGCAAAAGCATCACTTCCATCCCCACGCTGATGAGATTGCCTCTGTTGATACGGCGACAGCACCTAGAGACGTAATCGATAAAACGAAACACGAATCAATCAAATAAGCCAAGGACTACTTCTTACTCACAGAGAACACACAGTGGTAAATCTATTATGAACAGAGTAACCCTAAATATACCCGGACAGGGAAGGAAAATTCAATGGTATCGCATCGATCAACATACAACCCGGCATACTTAATCCTACACTCACTCCTCTGTGGGTTATCTGTTGTCTCGGCAACAACACTGAACTTATCCTGAATTATAGAGATACTGGTAGCACCTACTTTCCCCGAGATTGCCATAACACCAAGATGAGGGTCTTTCATCAAAATAACATGCCTTCGGGGGGCGATATATGGGACAAGATGTCTAAGTGCTTAACGTGAACATCTGCCTTGACGGACTTATTTCACGGTGGTTTTTTTCATCCACTGGGTAGACTTGGGACGGTCTACCATGTGCCCCCGGAATCCTTCTATGAAGAACTCAGGTGGAAATTTTTGTACATGGCTGTGCTGGTCCATGTACAAGCACTTTGCTGAAGTGCTCGAGCTTTCTAATCTCTTGCCATAGTAGCCCTGTTGCGGAATGACTGGCAGCATGGGATCAATCCCCATGCAAACCCCGACAAGGAAAAAGCAATTATTGTTCTAAAGTCAATAAAAGAGGAGACAACCCTTACGTGGGATGAAATCAATCTTCCGGAACACCGGAAGGTGACCACCTTTTATATGTCATGAAAGATTGCATTATTTAAAATGCAATCCCCATCAACGAATGACCCATTCCAATGCATTCCTTAACTTTTTAAAGCCCGCGCAACCATACTACTGAGATGGCGCTGTTGAAAATTCACCAACCCTACTACGAGAAGAGTAAGTGATACTCAACGGATTCAGGAATCCAGCATAAGTTGTTCTGTCACATCAGCTAGTTGAGATGGGAACAGCACCGGAGATAGAATTCGGATAGTCCGTAGTGCCAGATTATATGGTACTATGGTTCAACCCCATGTCAAATCATTACAAGGAAAGGCCGAGGATACATTTGATCATCACCAGTTAATAGTCCTGGCAGACTAGAGGTATTGGTTGCACTTCTTTTTCCAGGAATATTGCAATAACACCAAGATGGAGATTACACCGGTAATATGCACAGGTTCGAAATGTACCTAAAGGAAAAAGTTTCTTCTGTTATCAATATTGGTAGTTTAGTTCATAGACTAGCCATAACCAGTCAATATATTAGTTAACAGAACATTTAATGGAGTGGGCCTTAAAAAAGTATATGGATTTGACCATAGTCTAGTTCAAAGGCAAGTCAACAGACTAGTTAATAAGCCAGTCAATAGACTAAGCAATAAAATAGCCAATAGATATGTCCATAGACTAGTCGGTTGGCCTTACAACAGTCTATGTATTATTATATTAGTCCGTAGTCTAGTTCATAGGCAAGACAATAAGTTAGAATAGTTATTAGACTCGTCTACAGAAAATTCAAAAGACTTAACAACAGAGTATATTCTATAAACCGTAGGCAATTCCATAGACTAATCACTAGAATAGCCAATAGAATAGATAATAGACAAGTCAATTTACTAGTTAATAGACTAGTCTATAGATATAATCTAAACCATAGACTAGTCGTTATACCAATCCATAGATTGGTCCATGCAGTAGAGAATATACTATTCCATAGATTTGTCCCTAGTCAAGTTCATAGACTAGCCAATAAAATAGTTAATAGACTATTTCTTGTCTAGACCATAATCTAGCCCATAGACTAGTCCTTACACCAGTCATTAGACTAATCCCTACATCGGCAGAGAGTAAAAAATAAGTTGTCTTACTGGTTTTTATAGTTTTTATACCCTACACCACTTTAGTGGGGAGGGTATATTGGATTTGTGCTGATGTTTGTAACATACAAAAATATTCGTCCTAGACCCACCTTAAAGTATACCAATCGGCTTAGAATCGTTTTCTGAGTCGATTAAGCTATGTCCGTCCGTCTGGCTGGCTGGCTGTCCATGTAAACCTTGTGCGCTATGTACAGGTCGCAATTTTCAAGATAATTGGATGAAATTTGGCAAGGACGAAGCCTATTGAAAATGGTTAAAATCGGCCCATTATTTCACCTAGCCCCTATAGAACAGAACCCCCCGAAAAGGGCTTCTGAGCTCATAATTATGTGAAATATACCTGTATATCGATAAAAAGCGGCACGACTAAGTTTTATACAAGCCTTGATGACCTTGCCAAATTTCAAAAAGATCGGGCCTCATTTGACCCTAGCTCCCATACAAAGCCCCCTTCCGAAAATTACTTGAATGTCCGAAATTAACTTATAAACACAAATATCGCGATGAAATTCAGCACAAATAAATATTATATAAATATAAATATATTCACAAAACTTTATCGGGCTAGGTCCATATTTGCCCCTAGCCCCATATAAAGCCCCTTTCATAAATTAGTTTTTCATCCATAAATTGCTTAAATGTATCGGAACAAGGCAATATTGAAGATAAATGCTTTATTATGAAAAATAAACCACATTTAATATTCATAACTGGTGTAGGGCATATGTACTTTCTTACTTGATTATAGATGTGTAAGCATACATGCGTGTGAAGTTAAGAGTGCAAGAAAGCTCTTAACAAAGCTATTTACCGATCAGGGGACTAATCAATAGAAAAGTTAATGACTAGTCAATAGAATAGTCCATAGTATATAGTCCATAGACTATTCCATGAACAATTCAATACCATAGCTAATTAACAATTCTATAAACTAGACAAGAGTCTAGTCAGTTATATTGTCAATAGACTAGTTCTAATTCTAGGCTATTTCTAAATTCGGTCCATATTCTAGATAATAGATTAGTCCATTGACTAACTTTAATGACTGGTATTTTAACTAGTTCAGTTCATAGTCGAGTGCCCACGACAATCGGTTTTTCGCACCGGAACAACTCGGCCAAGGATTGTCAACTTAGCAACACCGACCTGCACGTGTCGCTGCTACAACAACAACATAGTCAAGTTAATAGACTAGTACTTAGCCTACATTTGAAAGACTTTTAAAATTAAATGATATATTTGTGGATCGAATTAAAAAGTCAAAAACTTTATTCGGATTGTAACCATTCAACGGACTGCCCTTGTTTTTACTGAGGGTCAAAGCTTCTAATATGTTGGTAAATAGTTTATAGTTCCTTAAGAATTAACACAATAATAAGCAGACTCAGAGGTGAAGAATGTTTTTATAGTTATTTTTCTATATATTTTTAATACCTTAATACTAAAAGATATCGAGATATTATATTCAAAAACTGCTAACTCACAAAATAAATAAGCTGAGTTAGCTCTTTTTTAATATATTTTAAGTTTTAAAATAAATTTATATTTACAGAATTTATTAGCTTTAAAATACATAAAGTAAATAAATTTTCATATAACAGCATAACAAAATAATAACAACAATAAAATATATGTATTTATACACTGAAAATAATAGTGCAATTATAAAGAAAATACACCAGACACAAACTTAAAAGCGAAATCAAAGCAAAACCATATACACTGAACAATAGAGAGTAAAAAATATACAGAATAAAGGTTTTTTTTTGGTAAAAACCCAAAATAAATCAAACAAGGCAAAATTAAAATGAAGGCAATTTTTAATTAAATCAATTAAACTTTTTGTACGCAAATACACTTAGAGTTTTATATATGTTTAGTTACTTTTTTTGGGTTAATAAAATAATTTAGAATTTATTATTTATGTTTTTTTTTTAAAGTAATTATACAAATTTTTCAATCCTTAATCAGAAGCATCAGACACAACAACAACAACACTTTAGTAGCAATATGGAAGGTTTTGGTTTTTTTGGTTTAATTAAATATATTAATTGTTTTTAATTAAATATTTTTGTTATTTAGAGCAATATAAACACTTAGAGAAACACTGAGAGAAACACACACATAGAGAGACAGTTAAAAGAAAGAGAGACAGATTTACAGTTAGAGTTTATATGATTATATGGTACAATTGGTATAGAGCAGTAATTTAGATAAAAAAAATAATTAGACACAAAGAGAGAGAGAGAGTTAAAGACAGCTGTAGTATATTTTATATCAAATAAATGAAAATAGTCAAAAATATCAGACAACGAAAAAAAGTTGAACTTAAATCCATTTCGTTCAAAAAAGGGACACACATTTATTTAAATTTTGTTTTATTATATAGCTTTTTTTTAAATTGATATTTTATTACATTGAATATAGCCAGGCATTATACTGAATGTGATTATAGTTTTTTTTAAAAAGAGCTTTTTTATATAGTTTCAAAGAGAGCTTAAGAAAAGAGACTCTCTTTGTTTGCAAGGCAATTAATTTTTGATTTTATGTTTTTTTTTTTTTTTTTTAAGTTAAACTTACGATGAGGCTTCTGAGCTGGGTAATGAATGTATACTACCGGTACGATATTGCATTATAGATGTCGATGGTGTAACTTCAACAGATCTTTGTATACTACCAGCTGAACCACGCGATTGACGTTGATAATGAATTGGATGTAATTGATGAAGATGATGAGATGTGTTAGAGGTGGTGTTGTTATTGTTGGTTGTAGTGGAGGTGGTGGTTGTAGTAGTGCTATATTGTGCCTCATTTTGGTCTGTTAGTAAAATAAAAATATTTCGAATTTTTTGTTTGTTGCTTAGAATTTTGTTTTTCTTTTAGAGAGAAAAGCTTTAGTAGGTTATAGAGAAACAAAATTTTTGGAGTTTTTTTTTATAAAACCCTACACCACTTTTCTTATTTTGATTTGGAGAGAGCATTAATTACAAGGATTAATGGTATTTACTCTTTTTTTTTGAAATGAAGGAAGTTTTTAATATAATCCTGAGCGTTTTAAAGATTTGTAGGAATATGGAAGACACTCGTTAAGAAGGTTAACTAAAGGTAGATGTGCGAACGGATCACAGTATATAAGAAATCGTATCTTGGGTGTTTTATTTTTTATATACAAAAACTTTTTTCTCGACGGTTTTCTTTCATTAACAAAAAATCATTAGTAAAAGGAGGACGAGAAGAAAAATGTGGCATGATAGGAAACAACCCTTTGAACTTTTATTCGTTTTACAGGACTTCAAATATTAGTTTTAAAAGAAAAGAAAAGCGGAAAAAATTAAAACCTAAAACCGATCTGAATGACGACCCTTAATCTTCAATATCTTGCTTAGCTTGCTTAGCTATAATCTGTATTATAATCTGTTCTATAGTCTGAGCTATTGTTTGAACTATAGTCTACATTTTAATCTGAACAGCAGTCTGGACTATTTTCTCAACTATAGTATGCACTATAGACTGTACTGTATTTTAAATTATAGTTTGAACAATCGTCTGAACTATACAGGATTATGTGTGAACTACATACAGGATTATAGCCTGAACTATATTCAGAATTATAGCCTGGACTATATTCTGAACTATAGTCTGAACTATAATCTGGACTATGGTTTGGAAGATAGTCTGAACTATAGTCTGAACTATAGTTTGGACTATAGTCTAAACTATAGTCTGAACTATAGTCTGGACTATAGTCTAAACTATAGTCTGAACTATAGTCTGAACTATAGTCTGAACTATAATCTGAACTATAGTCTGAACTATAGTCTGATCTATAGTCCGAACTAAAGTCTGAACTATATCCTGAACTATAGTCTGGACTATAGTCTGAACTATAATCTGGACTATGATTTGGATGATAATCTGGACTATAGTCTGGACTATAGCCTGGAATATAGTCTGAACTATAGTTTGGACTATATTGTGGACTATAGTCTGGATTATAGTCTGAGCTATAATCTGAACTATAGTCTGGACAATAGTCTAGACTCAAGTCTGAACTATAGTCTAGACTATAGTCTGAACTATAGTCTGGAATGTAGTCTGAACTGTAGTCTGAACTACAGTCTGGACTATAGTCTAGACTCTAGTCTGAACTGTAGTCTATACTATAGTCTGGACTGTAGTCTGGACTATAGTCTGAAATGATGTATCAACTATAGTCTGAACAATAGTTTGCAATATAGAGTGATTTATTACCTGGACTATAGTCTGATCAATATCCGAACAAATAGGTTGGACTAAGCTCTAATGAATTTAGACTTTGATCTGAATTATAGTTGGAACTCTAGTCTGGATCATAGCCTTAACTATAGTCTGGAGTATAGTCTTAGCTATTGAGCTATTACCTGGACTATAGTCTGATCTATATCCTAAATACTAGGTTATAGACTATGCTCTGAGGTATCCACTATTTTTCAGATTTTGATCTGAATTATAGTTTGAACTCTAGTCTGGATCATAGCCTTAACTATAGTCTGGAGTTTTGTCTTAGCTATTGTCTAGAGTATAGCCTGAATTGTAGTCTGCACTAAAGTCTATCCTATCTATTCTAAACTGTAGTCCGAAGTATTGACTAAACTATATTCAAAATTATAGTCTAAACTGGAGTTTTGACTTGACTAGACTAGACTTAACTATTGTCTCAAATCATACATATAGTTGGAATTATATTCTGAACTCTAGTCTGGACTATAATCTAAAATATAGTGTGGACTATAGTCTGAACTACAGTTTGAAATATAATCTCAACTATTGTCTACATAATATCGTGATTCAACTTGCAAAAGCTTTTTAATCTATTTTTAAATTTTTCTACATAAAAAAGTGGTGTAGGGTTTCGTGCCAAAAACAAATAATAAAATAATCGCAGGACTTCCATTTCCATTTTCGGTGCTAACAAAGCCGTTATAAAAAATGTTGTTATATAGTTTAGAGCCTTAATAACATAAAACAAATTAAACTAATTTTTTAATTATATAAAGAATAAAATAATTTAAATGATAAACCAATTAAAACAAAAAATAAACATATAAATAAATAATTAACTAATAACAGCAAATAAGCATACAAAAAAAGCAGCAATTATTATAAATAAGTTATTTTTCTTATAATAAATATTATTATTTTTATGATTGTCTGAAACATAAAACATAAATTATATGTTTGAAAGAAATTTTTCGTACACAGTGTTAATTTTTAATGGTAATATAAAATATTAAATTGTTTTTTATTTTATAAAAAAAAAGTTTGGTTAAACCTTAGTTGTTGTTTTACGTTTTAGATTTTTGTTTGATGAAAATTTGTTTCGTTTGCCAATTATTACTCAAATAATCTAAGGTCTTCCCTTTGGTAAAAAAAATCTTTTGGGATTTTGGTTTTTATTTTTTATAAAAGAATATTTATAATTTTTTTTTTTATATATAAATTATGTTAAAGGTATGGAATTCAAAAACATCCTATATCTCCCTGGTTTGGAAAAAAATTTGTTGTTAGAAAAATAAAATACATTTTGTTTTTTTTGTTAAAGAAGTTATAAAGATGATAAACATTAGAAATGTTAGAGTTTTATATAAAATGGCATGCAAATATTAAGTTTAGAGAATTTATGTGTTTGAATGAGAATTTATTTTTTTTTCTAGTGTAATTTGTTTGGCAATAAATAATATTTGTAATATTATTAAGAATCATTTTAATATGTTTTTATGTCTTCTTGTTATGTGTTAATATTTAATTGTTTTTATCTCAATAAATTCCTATTGAATAGGAAAAACGCTTTGTTTATATTAATTTTTATTTTTAAAATTTTGTATTTTAAAAGATCCCCACTTTATAACGCAAAAGTAGATAAGAAAGTTAAAATTTTCTTTACAGTTTTATGATTATTTTGAAAATAATATTTTCACATTTGGTGGATATCGAACATACGACGCTTATAGAACATGAGCTTAACTTGTCACTCATTTACTACTAGACTGGTTCAATCCAAAAAAGTCTTTTGAGAAAAATGGCTTTGAATGAAAAATTAAATCAGATTCTGATAGTAGAGGTTAATACGTTTCTACAATTCTATTAAAATATAAAAACATTTCCCGATTTAAGTCAACTATTAGACAAAGTCTGTATTTTGAACTGTATTATGACTATGGTATGAACTATAGCGTTGTTTAGACAATATTCTGCAGTATAGTCTGTAATATAATCTAACTGAAGGCTAAATTGTCTGAACCCTAGTCTGATATGTAGTCCGGACTATATAAAAAGTTTAGCCTTAAGTTTGGTCTAAAGTCTACACTATAATTTGGTGGACTATAGGCAGAATTGTGGTACATATTAATAAAAAGATAAGATTAAAGTTTAATCTAAAGCATTTACTGTAATTCGAAATACATTAGGGAAACTACAGTCTGGACTATATTTGGGACTTAATGTAGTTTGGAAAATAGTCTAAATTACAGTCTGGAGTATTATCTGAACCATATTATGGACTATAAACTAAAATATAGTTTGAACTATAATTTGGTATGGTACAATCTACAATCTGAACTATAGTCTGAACTATTGTATGGACTATAGTCTGAACTCGGGTCAGAACTGTAGTGTATAGTCTAAACTATAGTCTGAAGAATAATTGAAAATGGACTATAGTCTAGAGTATAGTGTAAACTATTGTCTGGACTATAGTCTGTATTATAATCTGGACAATATTCTGTTCTATTGTTTGGACTATAGTCTGTACTATAGTCCGGACTATATTCTGTACTATAGTCTAGACTATAATCTGTACTATAGTCTGAACTATAGTCAGTACTATAGTCTGAACTATATTCAGCACTATAGTCTGTACTATAGTCTGGACTATAGTTTGTACTATAGTCTATACTTTAGTCTGTACTATAGTCTAGACAATAATCTGTACTATATGATCTGTACTATAGTCTGGACTATAATCTGCACTATAGTCTGGACTATATTATGTACTATAGTCTGTACTATAGTCTGGACTAAAGTCTGGACTAAAGTCTATACCACAGTCGGAACTATAGTCTGAACTATAGTCTGGACTATAGCGTGTACTAAAGTCTGGACTATAGTCTGGACTATGGTCTGTACTATAGTCTGTACTATAGTCTGTACTATAATCTGTACTATATTGTGGACTATAGTCTGTACTATAGTCTGGACTATAGTCTGTACTATAGTCTGGACTATAGTCTGTACTATAGTCTGGACTATAGTCTGTACTATAGTCTGAACTATAGTCTGTACTGTAGTCTGGATTATAGTCTGTACTGTAGTATGGATTATAGTCTGTACTATAGTCTGGATTATAGTCTGTACTATAGTCTGGACTATAGTCTGTACTATAGTCTGGACTATAGTCTGTACTATAGTCTGGACTATAGTCTGTACTATAGTCTGGACTATAGTCTTTACTATAGTCTGGATTATAGTCTGTACTATATTCTGGACTATAATCTGTACTATATTCTGGACTATAGTCTGTACTATAGTCTGTACTATATTCTGGACTATATTCTGGACTATAGTATGTACTTTAGTCTGGACTGTAGTATGTACTATAGTCTGGACTATACTCTGTATTATAGTCTGTACGATAGTCTGAATTATAGTCTGTACAGTAGTCTAAATTATAGTCTAGACTTTTGTCTAAACTATGGTAAGTACTATAAATAGATCACTATTACGAACTATAGTCTAATCTATAATCTGAACTATAGTCTATACTATATTCTGACCTTTAGACTATAGTATGAATAATAATTTGAACTATAGTTTAAACAATAGTACGAACTACGGTCAAGAAGCTGTAGTATAAATCGTAGTCGTAACTACAGTGTGAACTATATTCGGGAGTATAAGCTAAAGTGTAGTATGGTTATATTTAAACTATAGTCTAGACTATAATTTTAACTGTAGTCTAGCGAACTATTGCCTGAACTATAGTCCGGTTTATAAGAATAATCTGAACAAAAGTTCATTTTTTAGTCTAAGATATGGACTTGGTTATAGTCTGTACCATAATCTGTACCAAAGTCTGGACTATTGTATAACAGTTCTTTATTCCGTGCTATAATCAGGGAGTAGTTTGTTGAGTAGAATCGCTTTTTCGCTAACGGTTATTTGTAATCTTATATATCCACTATCAAAACATGTCTCGTGTTTATAACAAAATCTGCTTGACATGCCCAATAATGATTTTCGGAATATAGGTAGATCCTATTGGAATTTAATCAGGGGTTACTTAAGTGTTGGCATTATTAATGAATGAGAGTTATACTATCACCTTAATATTTTGATATAAACTTAAAATTATTTGTGATTGTCATTATGATTTACAGACTATGATCCTTCATGGACATCTGATTCATTTAAGAACCGAAACCTAATTAATTTTCTTTTAGAATGAAGCATGTATTTTTTATAAAATTTTTGCTGAGATTAATGTTCATCACGATATTGTTTATGGATGTTAAAGTAGTTATCTAGTGGAGATCAGAAATGGGCCTACGGCCAAGAAGTGACTGGATTTTATTAATTTTTTAGTGTTACGAGATGACATTTGTACGAAGCATGGGACGATTTCGCTTATTGTCAACAGTACATAATATTTGTGGAATTAATCAGCCTTCAAGATATTTCAATGTATGTCCTATTTTGGCTTCAAGAGCCAGGCGGCCATCGGTCATAGAACAGAAAGTAAAAAATATCATAAATGTTTATTTTACTTTAATACTTCTTGCGATTTTTTACCAGCTATTTGGGCTTTAACCACACGACATACATATGTTTTGAATGGTTATTTGAACTTTCAGAGCTTTATATAAATATTAAAATTTTTTAAATTTTATTAAACTTATTATATCTCAAATTATTTTAATTAGCAAAAGTTGTCTATTGCCTACAATTTGTAAACTTTAGCTAACAAAGCTTTGATCTATTGATATGTTAAAAGCTTAAAAATCCATAATGTTTTTTAATCAATTTGTTTATGTTTATATGTTTAAAAAAAAGCTTACCGATATAAATCCTGGTAAAAATCTAGAAAAAATAATCTTAAACTAAGAAAAATATGATAAAGTGTAGCTTTACTTTTTAAAAACGTTAGTATTTACTAAAATTGTTAGCATTTTGTAGTATTGTATATATAAAATAAATAACAAATATAATTTAAAATAATTTAAATATAAACAAAACTACATGCAGAAACTGTAACAAACTTTTCTGTAAAAACTATTTAAGTATTTGACGATAGGAATATAATTTGAGGAAATGTTGTAGCAAAATGTATAATAATAATTGTGTTTTAAAATAAAATGTTAGTGATGTAAATATGTATGTCGAAAAAATAAATTAACTAGCAGTATGCATAAACTAAAAGCTTTTTTTTAAGTTTATTTCGAAAAAAAACTAAATATTTTATTAAATTAATGCTTTTTTGAGCTAATCTTTGCAAAGAAAGCTTTTGACAAAAATAATTTTATTTCTTTTTTCTTTATTGAAGTAAAAAGAGAACTAAAACTTGTAAAAGCTTTCTTGAAAGATTAAAGCTTTTCAATGTTTGGTTTTAATTATTTTAATAATTAGCCAAAGTAAAAGCCTAAAAATACGTATCGACTTTGGATTGGATTGTTTTTTTAATAATCTTTTTTTGATACAACATTATGTTAATGTTTTTTTTTAATAAATTTAAGGGATGTAATTAAAATTTTGGCTGTAAATACTGTTATTTTTATAATTTTCTTTTTGTAGTCAAATGGATTAAGGGATGTGGTAATGGTTTCGCAAATTTTCTTAATAAATTCTTAAAAACTTAATAATTACAATGTAGTAGTAGTTAAATTGGCTGGTTGTTTGTTATAAAATAATTTAAGCTTTCTTAAGCTTAAAGCTATAATTAGCATAGCTTTTTAAGGTATTATATTATTATATATATAATAAATTAAACTTTTGAGTTCTTAAAAACTAATGTTTATCATCATTATTAAAAAAAAAATAATAAAAACTTAGAAATTAAATTAATTAAAAAAATCAAATAAATAATAATAGAAAAACCTAAAAAAATAGAAAAAAAGTAGATTTGCGAACCTGTCCCCACCACTACCGGCTCCAGGATCAACTAAGCCTTCGCCACCATCGGCTTCAGATGAAGAGCCACGCGATAGAACCCCTCGTATCTCACCTGGCAATACTTCTTCACTGCGATTCACCGTAAATGAGCTTTTACCCTTTTTTCCAAAGCCCATACGTCTTTTACGACCTTTTGTTTCAAATTTTAACGTGAAATTAATTTGTTTATATATTTTCACATTTTGTTGTCGTTAATACGAAAAATATTAGTAACAATTAAAGCAAAAAAGTTTATAACAACTAAATTTTAAAAGAATTAGAGTGAACTAAAATGAAAATTCTAAAAATGATAACAAACGTAAATGATTTCTAATCTTAAGGAAACACAAAGAAATGATAAAAGTATAAAAATATTTTAACGAAAATGAAGTTTTTTTAAATTGTTTTTAATAACGGCCATGATTTATAAATTGAATTCTTGTTTGGAATACATGATCTGGGACACATTACTGTGTTATTATTTCTTTTGATCTTTTTTTATATATACAAAGAAAAGTTAACAAACTATTGGAACATAAGAAAAAACTTACCTGTTGCAGATAGTTGGGAGGTGGAGTTGGATTTTTTACCCATGCCACTACCGCTTTTGGGTGAACGTTCTTGGTCCAAAGTACCTTTTTTACGATCCTGGGCAGTGTCTGATAAACTGCCATCTAAGTGGGGAGAAATTTAAAGAAAATTAAAGGAATTGTATTAAAAAATAGTTAGTGACTTTAAATTAAACAGTCAAAAGCTAAATGCTCTGCCTGTAGAAGCTTTTATTGTTATTAGAAACAAATATTTTATGAAAATTAAAGCCTTTAATAGCTTCAATTAAAAGCTTTTAAAAATTAACATTGCTGAAAACTTTAACTAAAGTTTTAACATTGCTGAAAGCCTAGCCAATAGTTTGGAAAAGCTCAATTCCTTAAGTACAACTCATAGAAAAGCTTTTGGGTTATTACAGTTCTGTCTAAAAATCAGTTACTAAATATGAATTTTTATCTTAGACAGAAGTTTAAAGCTTAGCCTAGACTTCTAGAAAAGCTTTCGTTACTGTTTAATGCGCGCTTTTATATTTAAAAGTTTATATGAATTGTTCAAAATCTGTAGACCTAAACTTCTAAAAAAGCTTTCGTTTCTTTCTAAGCACTAAAATAGTTTATATTTATGTTAAAAAGAAAAAATTCCAACCTTTTGAAACAAGAAATAGCTTAAATTAAAAGCTTTTAAAAACTAACATTGATTAGTGACCAAAACTTGCCAATAGCTTATGTACAAAAAGCTTTTCTCAACTAACTGCACTTTTTTCGTAGTTAAACTTTCTGTCTTTTTTCAAAGTTTTACACTAGAATGCTTTTTAAGTCATACTAAGACTAATGTTTGAAAGAACGAAAACTTATTTCATTCACAATTTGTCAACATGTGTTCATTTATACTAAAGCATATATCTTCTATTCAAACAAAACCCTCTACCACTTACCGACTTTTTCATCAGCACTCTGTATTTGGTTGGGATCATCCTTTTTATCACCGCCTTCAGCTTTTGTATCAACATATTCACTAAAATCATCATCCAGCATTGCATCAATTGCATCCCAATCGATGGCCGCATCCAGATCAACGGCAGCATCACCATCAGCCGCAGCAGCCGCACCATCGGTTGAGGTTGGATCAACAGTCATGTTGGCATTTGATGGCGAAGCATTTGTTGTCGTTGTTGCATTTATCGTTGATGAGGTTGATGTGGTTGTTGTTGTAGTTGTTGTGAGATTAGTGGTTTGTATGATTGTTGTTGTTGTAGTAGTTGTTGTTGTTGGTTGATTAGTTGATGTGATCGTTCCGTCAGCGTTAACGTTTACGTCGTTAGTATTATTGATGGTGGTTGAATGTTTCAATGAGGCACGTTTATTGGGTGATGTGGAATTTGCGACACCATGATGGGAATTTGCAAAAGAGGAAGAAGAAGCAGCATTATTAGCATTATTACTACCAGCAACAACATTACCAGCAGTGGCAGTTGTAGTGCCAGCACCACTACCACTCCCACTGCCAGTTTTCACTGCCTGTTGTTCTAAAACTTCTCCCTTCCCTCTTTGTCTAATACTACCGCTACCACTAACTGGCATAGCACTACCGCTACTACTACTGTATTGGCGATTTGTGGTGTGATGTTGTGAAGTGTTGTGTGACGCAGTACGATCGCCGTAATCGTCGTACTCAAAATACTCTGGCTGATCGTTAATACTGACGAGATTACTGCGATCACTGCCGGTTTCGTGTAGATGTTGTTGGTGTGTACGGCCGCTCTGCCTTTTCGAGGAGGCAGACGAGGCCATGGCCGATGGACGTGGTCCCGAACGACCAGTGTCGCCCACCGGTCCCGGTCGTTCACTAGCTGCGTGACCATTAACCATGCCACCGTGCGACATTGATGCAGATGCGTGTGGACCGGAGCCCATGTGAGCATCATCATCGTAGGGCATACGAGAGCCCGGTTCTACGGGCGAAAAGTTATGAGCATTTTGTGCACTAGGAGGATGCGGCAAGTTGCGACGGCGTTTCTGATATGGCATAGCCGCCGAACCACTACCATAAAGCTTGTCATGAGTCGAACGGTCCAAGTCAAGGGACATGTGGTTACGTTCACGAGCCACATCGTAGCGGCGTCGAGAATCGCGAAATTGCGAGGGAGCCACACCACGTCTAGTCCAACCCACGTCCGAGTCATATGTAATGGTCACAATTTTATCGTCCGTCACCAGGAAATGCGAATGGCTGAGCGGATTACTGGCATCAACATTGGCCCCCATGTACGACTGACGTATGTTCGTTTCAGAACCATAACGTCGTGAAAGTTCTTCATCAAATTGAGCTGGATATACCTCGTCCTCGTAGCGTATGCGTCGACGACCCCAGCTTTTGGCATGTAAGTCGTCATAGTCCAGAGAGCGCGATTGTCCCTCATGAAACATTTTTCGTCGATCCAGCGGTGTACGACCCGTGGGTATACCGATTTTGGGTTTCTTTAAGATTGAAGGAGGTTGGGCTTTGGCCTCGGCTATGGGCACTGCCGAGACTAGAGCATCTTCGCTTAGTTGACGGGACAAACGTAACACCGACTGTGTAGGCAACTGAGGGGGAGGGGCCAAGGAGGATTTGGCCTTTTTGTGCGCTGTTGGTGTAGGGGTATGGACATGGTAAGTGGGTACGGCGCCTAAATCTAACTGAGGGGCAGTCAAGCCGCTGACAAAGTGTTGATCCACACATTCACCGCACATTGCCGTATCGGTGGTGGGCAGTGAGGGCTCCGACGAGGAGGGCTGAAACATGGATAGGGATGGTCGTCGCAACAGCTGTTCCGCTGTGTAGGGATAGGCGACAGGGTGATGTTGCGGATGTGGATGAGCGTCTACCAAACAGTAGGGATCAGCACAAGCCCCTATGGTTACGCCGGATGAGGCCAAGGCGGCATTAGTGGATAATACCACCGGCTGGCTGCCATTCTGACAATGACTGCACGTATTGTCGTAGTGATCGCGTATGTAGCCTACATACGAAGAGGGTGATGAGGACACGGTATGGGCATGAGGCTGACCGGCATCAACCGTTAAGCCAAAATGCTGGGGATGCTGACGAAAAAAGTTCACCACTGGTGATGTTAGACGCTTAAGACCACGCATTGCAACACCACCACCGACGCCGCCACCCATGCCGGCGGCCTCGGCTTCCATGGCACCTAAAAGACTATCGGAAGCAAAACCTGGATCGGAAGGGAAATGCGTGAAATTGGCAGCATGCGTTTGAAACTCTGGGAATTGTATGGTGGGTATTGTATGTGGTGGAGGTGGGTATTGAGGTGGATTAAATGTATTGAGTTGTTGTAGTTGTTGTTGCTGCTGCTGTTGTTGTTGTGTTTGTGTTAGAGGATCTTGTGTGAGACGTGGCTGTGTTGCTACATTGGCACCGATGCCGCCGCTACTGTTGTCCATCATTATGAGACTGGTTGGTTGGCCGGCATCGAGAAAATATTGCTCGACTAAATCGCCGCTATTGTCTGTCACCATAAGTTGTGTTGGCAGTTGTGGTTGTGATTGTAGTCCTGCTGCTGCTACGACGTTCGCCGTATTCGGTGGTGATTCACTGGCAGCCAATTCGGCAAGACGTTGCAAATGTTCCAGCTGCTCGAGCAGCTGTATTTGTTGTGGTGTCGTCGTTTGCATATGCAAATGCGAAGGCGGATATGCCGTCATGGGCAAAAAGTCACAGTCGTCCACTTCAATGGTGTTTGAGCGAAAACGTTCAAAGAAACCACCTCTGCCGCCGCCGTCGTCGCCGCCACCTAGACGCATACTGGGGCCAGCAGTTGTTATACTGTTGGGCCCAAAATAAGAGCGCCAATTACGTGGTAAGCTACTGTTATTTTTTGTACATCAAAATTTTCATTTTTGATTTTTATTCAAAGTTGGAAAAGTGTGTTTGTTTGTGTAAGTGTTTGTGAGAGTTGAGTATGTAGTAGAGAATAGTTTATATTGTGTGGTGTATTAGTGTGTTGAATATTTTTAGAGGTGAATTTTGTTTTTGGAGTTTGTTGTTGAGTGGTAGCAAAAAAATACATGCATAGAGTGAGAATTTAAAATAAGGAAGTAGAAAATACAACAACGAAAGACAAATCAAAGCAAAGAACCAAAAAGGAAAGAGAAATAAAGAACAAAACCCAAAATGACGTCCGAGTGGTAAAGAGTAGGTGAATACATGCACACATATGTGGGAATGTATGTATGTATGTGTGTGAAAGTAGCAGAATGTATGTAAATGTATATGTGTGAGAAAGTGATTATGTTGGTAGTTGGTGGTTGTAATTGTAGGCACATTTAGAGGCATGTAAAACACAAAATAAAGCGCAGGCGTCATTGAGTCGTTGGTTGAGTAAAAGAGTTGAAATTATAGTTGAGGTTTTATTTGATTTTTTTGTACATTAAGTTGTTGTTGGTTTTTTTGTTTTTGTTTTAAAACATACATAAAGAAGGGAAAACAATAAAAAAAGAAAAACACATAGTAAACATAAAGAAAGAAAATAGCATGTTTTTTGATATTTGTTTTGTATTATTTTGTTTTAATATTTTATTGTTTAATGATTTTCTCTTTTTTTTCCTTTTAGCAATTCGCCAAATACTGTGTACTTTGATAGTTTTTTTTCGGTTTAATATAATATATATTTTTGTAGTTGTTGTATACTTTTAATGCCAGCCAGATTGGGTATTATTTTTCAACGATTTTTTGTTTTAGAAGATAAACAAGATTTTCATTATATATTCTTAGAACCAAAAATGTAGCAAATTTTGTGAAAATTTTCCTATTTGCTGAAAGCTTTAGTGTTGTAAAGCTTTTAGTATTACAAAAATTTCACTGCACTGCATAAAAGCTTTTTCTGGTGTAGTTGAAAAGCTTTTACATTATTCTCTAACTTTCCAATTTCTTATGAGAAGCTTTGTTATTTTATAATAAAAGTGTAGGTGATTTTTTATCATCTTTCTATGATTTTATGTACTCACCTGAGACCTCTGGACCCTCGTGGCCGTTCGGATTGTGTGGAGAAAGAACTTGATGTTACACTAACTACTGACTCCATATCGGAATCACCGAATTCACCCATAAAATCTTTGTCGGGCGATAGGGAATGTCGTGGTCGCATACGAGTTTCCATCGAGTGCAGATCACTGTCCGAAGCACCGGTGTAATGACGTTCCCAGCCACCGCCACCGGTACTACGATACAATGGCTGATGATGTGGCTGACGTGTGCGATGTCGTCCGAAACGGCCACCACCACCGTTACCAGACGTTAAACGATCATCGAACTCCTGTCCCAAGCGATCACGTATCATAGCGCTGCGTGATGTTTGGGGGACCTAAAATTATTAGTTGTTTAAATTTTTTTTATAAGTTAGCAGAAAGCTTTTAATGTTGATGGGCAACTTTTTTATATTTAATACTAATTCAGGAAAGCGTGTTTTAACAAAAGCTTTTTATAATAAAATGTTTTACAACACTATTTTTCATATTTTTTTTACTGGAGAGCTTTTTTACTGAAAACATAATAAGCTTTTTCGAGAATAGTATTTGTTCAATAAACAAAGGAAAGATGGAATTTAGATAAAAAGCTTTTCTTTATATGTTTTATAAAAGTGTGTTCAGCATTATAAAATACTTATTTAATAAAAAGCTTTTATTACAATAACATTTCCTATAAAATATAAAAATTATTTTACAAAAATTTTTATCATAAGTTGTTTTATTAAAAAAACATTTATTTTCTTTTAAAAACTTTTACTAAAAAGCTTTTTTTTTTTTAAAGTTGTTAAAATATTTTTTTTGTAAACTTTCTAAAAACCATAAAAATTTACAAGAAAGCATTTTGTTAGTGAAAAAGCTTTTTCACAAAATATATAATAATTATTTTATTAAAAAGCTTTTTCACATGTTTTTTTATTTAAAAAAAGTTTTTACAAAGCTTTTATTAAAAAAGCTTTTTATAAAAAGTTTTTTTTTTACAAAAAAAGCTTTTTATAAAAAGTTTTTTTTACAAAAAAATCTTTTAAGATTTTTATTATTTAATAAAAAGCTTTTATTACAATAACATTTCCTATAAAATATAAAAATAATTTTACAAAAATCTTTATTAAAAACACTATTTTTTTTTCTTTCAAAACTTTTACTAAAAAGCTTTTTTTAAAAAAAAGGTGTTTAAATATATATTTTTTTTTTTTGTAAAAATAAATAAACTTTCTAAAAACCATACAAATTTACAAGAAAGCATTTTGTTAGTGAAAAAGCTTTTTCACAAAATATATAATAATTATTGTATTAAGAAGCTTTTTCACATGTATTTTTATTTAAAAAAGTTTTTTACAAAGCTTTTATTAAAAAAGCTTTTTATAAAAAGCTTTTAAGATTTTTATTATTGCGATTTAAATTTAAAGCTTAACAAATCACCATATACTACTTACCTTTGGCAGTTGTCTCTTTTTGGGCGAACCAGTCGGCGTGGCAGTCGCTGAGCGCGATTGAAAACGTTGCTGCTGTGATGACGACGATCCCACCCCACTATCGTACGGTGTGATTATCGAGGTGGCACCACTGTAAGGCGGTATGCTGCCTATATCGTGACCTCTATACTCAGGCGGTGACAATGAGCCACGTCTTGGACTGGAACTGCGATAGTAACCGCTATGATAGGCATCACTTGGAGCAGCTGAATGACTACGTTGGCTAAGACTCATGCCACCAGGACCAGTGGTGGTAGCACCATTACGACGAAAGTAACCACTTTGTGCGCCAGGAGCCTAAAGTTTTCAAAAACAAAAAAACGGAGGAACATAATAGACAATCAATAAAATTTGCAATAAAAAATAAAAAGGAAAACATAATGATTTAGTTCTTAAAAAATGGCTTTGTAAGGTTAATAAACTGAAAATTTTATATTTTATACATTTGAACAAAACCGTTTTATTAAAAAATGAAAATTATTAAATATAATTCTTTCATAATTTGTAATTGTAGTTTAAAGTTTTAAAAAACACTGCAAGTGTACTAAAGCTACTTAAAGTTTAGTTTTTTTTGTTAAGAAAATTCATTAAATTCAAACCATTCATTTGAAGAGTAACTTTTTTTCAAATAAAATAAATATTTAAAAATATTTAAAAAAAGTTTAACATTAGTTAAGTAAGAGACAGAGTAAAAGAAGCTTTAAACAGCTTTCAATTTGTTAAAAAAGAGAGTAGCAATATGGAGAAAAGTTTAAAAGGATTATTGTTAAGTGCTTAAAGTATTAAGGGATTTTACTAAGGAGTCAGTTTTAATGAGTTTAACTATAGGGTGAGAGAAAGCTTGATTATATGAAAGGTTGTTGATCTTAATAAATAATGAAGGGTTTTGTTAAAAAGCTATTCCCATACTTAGGTGTCTAAGTGAAAAAGCTTTAACTAATAATGAGTTTAAGCTTAAGTGTTAAAAGCTTTTAAGCTTTTTTTGCTTTTCGTAAACGAAATTTGAGAGAAATTTATTGGCCTAATTTTTTATAAGTTCCTGTTTACCAAAGCTTTAACTGTTAAAACATTCCCTGCTTAAAACGTTTTTTAGCTTTATTTTTTTTTTTAATAATTTTACATTTTATTTATATAAAATTTCAAACCTGATTGTGATAACTTTGTCCAATGCCCGAAACCGTACGATAATCACGAGCTACCATGCCGGCCACTCTTTTACGGCCCTGAGGTGACATATCACGTCTTGAACGACGCTCTTGCAAATCAATCTACATTTTTTTTGATTTTGTATTTTTTTTCAATTTGATTTTTGTATTTTTTTTTTTCCAAAAGGACCACAAGGATTAATGTTTGAAGGGTGTTTGACATTATTTACAATATTATTACAAGGATTTAGAGTTTGTTAGGCGGAAAGTGGGGGGAATAACGTTTATGTTTTAGAGGGGGCAGATGTTAAGAAAAAAGACAAGATAATAGAAGAAAATATTGGTTTTTTAACAAAACAATTCCAAAAAAGTTTGACAACATTTAGAAAAAAAAAATTAGGACACTTTAGTAATAAAATGAAAATAAAATTTTAATTAGAAATAAAAAAAGTTTTAGTTTTACCGTGTTGCAGGTGTTTTGACTGTGATTTTGTTAATGTAATTTGTTGTTTTAATTACAAAAGCTACTTGGCATTTAAATATAATACATTTAAAGCTTAAAATAATAATGTTAAATAAAACAAAAGAACAGAAAATATTACTAAACTTAAAAGCTTTATAAATTAAAGCTTATAGGTGTAACAAAAGCTAACATGCATAGTGCTAAAAAGTTTTCTTTTTTTAATGTGCTTAAACCTTATATGAAGGTTTTTAAAGAAAAAAGCTTCTTTTTTTTAAATATTAGTTAAAACTTTTTTTGTTACAAAAAGTTTCTTTTGATAAGTTAACGAAGCATGTGTTCTCTTATATTGTTTTCTATTTTTTAACTTTTTAAAGTTTATACTTAAAAGTTACATTATTTTTACTTTTTTGTTGTTGCTTTTATTTAAAATTAAAGTTTAGTTTTAGTTTAGAATTACAACACTTAAATTTATAACCTTAGCAAAATTTCATACATTCTTCTTTTTAAGTTTTGTTTCGTTTATTTCATACACATTATAGAAAGTTCAGTTTAGTTAAGTTATGGTTTTGAGAAGAAAAAAATTTACACAACATCGATTAGAAAAACAAATTCAATCTAATTTTTTTAAACAAAATTATGTAAAGAGAAATTTTTGTATTAAAATAAATTACTTAATTTTATTAATTTTAAATGATAGAGTTATAAATTGTTGCATGAATTTCAGGAGCTTTGGTTTTGATTTTCTTGTTAAACCCTTAAAGTATGTTTAACAATTTGTAACTCCATAATGTTTTTAACATGAAAATCATGTATAGGTGAGAATGTATGTATGTATGTCTATCGAGTATATATGGCTCAATGTTGTTATATTATCCAGAACAATATGATATGGATGTTGTATGAGGATATGTAGGTAAATGAGTATGATGATGAACATGTCGAAAATATTTTGTTATTGCAACTTTTATAAACATATTAGTATTTATATAATACAGTGTTAGACCCACTATATTAAACCTTTGCAGAATCTAAACATTATATTGATAGGTATAGGTCTTAACAGAACGCTGTCGATAGGCATGGAAAATATAAATTTTAGAACAGCACTAAATAGAACTAATTTACTGCTCGACGTGATAGACAGACTAAAGACTAGACAACAGACTTAACTATAGACTAGACTATAGACTAGACTAGACTATAGACTAGACTATAGACTATACTATAGACTAGACTAGACTATAGACTATACTATAGACTAGACTATAGACTAGACTATAGACTAGACTATAGACTAAACTATAGACTAGACTATAGACTAGACTATAGACTAGACACTAGACTATAGACTAGACTATAGACTAGACTATAGACTAGACTATAGACTAGACTATAGACTAGACTAAAGACTAGACTATAGACTAGACTATAGACTAGACTATAGACTAGACTATAGACTAGACTATAGACTATAGACTAGACTATAGACTAGACTATAGACTATAGACTAGACTATAGACTAGACTATAGACTAGACTATAAACTAGACTATAGACTAGACTATAACTAGACTATAGACTAGACTATAGACTAGACTATAGACTAGACTATAGACTAGACTATAGACTAGACTATAGACTAGACTATAGACTAGACTATAGACTAGACTATAGACTAGACTACTAGACATAGACTATAGACTAGACTATAGACTAGACTATAGACTAGACTATAGACTAACTATAGACTGACTATAGACTAGACTATAGACTAGACCTATAGACTAGACTATAGACTTAGACTATAGACTAGAACTATAGACTAGACTATAGACTAGACTATAGACTAGACTATAGACTAGACTATAGACTAGAGACTGATAGACTAGACTATAGACTAGACGATAGACTGAAACTATAGACTAGACTATAGACTAAGACTATAACTAGACTATGACTAGACTATAGACTAAGACTATAGACTATACTATAGACTACTATAGACTAGACTATAGACTAGACTATAGAACTAGACTATAGACTAGACTATAGACTATTACTATAGACTAAGATACTAGACTAGACTATAGACTAGACTAATAGACTAGACTATAGACTAGACTATAGACTAGACATAGACTAGACTATAGACTAGACTATAGACTAGACTAGACTAGACTATAGACTAACTATCGAACTAGAACTAGAGACTAGACTATAACTAGACTATACTATAGACTAGACTATGACTATAGACAGGACTATAGACTAACTATAGAATAGACCTATAGACTAGACTATAGACTAGACTATAGACCAGACCTATAGACTAGACTATAGAATAGACTATAGACTAGACTATATAGAACTAGACTATAGACTAGACTATAGACTAGACTATAGACTAGACTATAACTAGGACTATAGCTAGACTATAGACTGACTATAGATAGACTATAGACTAGACTATAGACTAGACTATAGACTAGACTATAGACTAGACTATAGACTAGACTATAGACTAGACTATAGACTAGACTATAGACTAGACTATAGACTAGACTATAGACTAGACTATAGACTAGACTATAGACTAGACTATAGACTAGACTATAGACTAGACTATAGACTAGACTTAGACTAGACTATAGACTAGACTATAGACTAGACTATAGACTAGACTATAGACTAGACGATAGACTAGACTATAGACTATACTATAGACTAACTATAAGACTAGACTATAGACTAGACTATAGACTAGACTATAGACTAGACTATAGACTAGACTATAGACTAGACTATAGACTAGACTATAGACTAGACTATAGACTAGACTATAGACTAGACTATAGACTAGACTATAGACTAGACTATAGACTAGACTATAGACTAGACTATAGACTAGACTATAGACTAGACTATAGAACTAGACTATAGACTAGACTATAGACTATAGACTAGACTATAGACTAGACTATAGAACTAGACTATAGACTAGACTATAGACTAGACTATAGACTAGACTATAGACTAGACTATAGACTAGACTATAGACTAGACTATAGACTAGACTATAGACTAGACTATAGACTAGACTATAGACTAGACTATAGACTAGACTATAGACTAGACTATAGACTAGACTATAGACTAGACTATAGACTAGACTATAGACTAGACTATAGACTAGACTATAGACTAGACTATAGACTAGACTATAGACTAGACTATAGACTAGACTATAGACTAGACTATAGACTAGACTATAGACTAGACTATAGACTAGACTATAGACTAGACTATAGACTAGACTATAGACTAGACTATAGACTAGACTATAGACTAGACTATAGACTAGACTATAGACTAGACTATAGACTAGACTATAGACTAGACTATAGACTAGACTAGACTAGACTATAGACTAGACTATAGACTAGACTATAGACTAGACTATAGACTAGACTATAGACTAGACTATAGACTAGACTATAGACTAGACTATAGACTAGACTATAGACTAGACTATAGACTATAGACTAGACTATAGACTAGACTATAGACTAAGACTATAGACTAGACTATAGACTAGACTATAGACTAGACTATAGACTAGACTATAGACTAGACTATAGACTAGACTATAGACTAGACTATAGACTAGACTATAGACTAGACTATAGACTAGACTATAGACTAGACTATAGACTAGACTATAGACTAGACTATAGACTAGACTATAGACTAGACTATAGACTAGACTATAGACTAGACTATAGACTAGACTATAGACTAGACTATAGACTAGACTATAGACTAGACTATAGACTAGACTATAGACTAGACTATAGACTAGACTATAGACTAGACTATAGACTAGACTATTGACTAGACTATAGACTAGACTATAGACTAGACTATAGACTAGACTATAGACTAGACTATAGACTAGACTATAGACTAGACTATAGACTAGACTATAGACTAGACTATAGACTAGACTATAGACTAGACTATAGACTAGACTATAGACTAGACTAATAGACTAGACTATAGACTAGACTATAGACTAGACTATAGACTAGACTATAGACTAGACTATAGACTAGACTATAGACTAGACTATAGACTAGACTATAGACTAGACTATAGACTAGACTATAGACTAGACTATAGACTAGACTATAGACTAGACTATAGACTATAGACTAGACTATAGACTAGACTATAGACTAGACTATAGACTAGACTTAGACTAGACTATAGACTAGACTATAGACTAGACTATAGACTAGACTATAGACTAGACTATAGACTAGACTATAGACTAGACTATAGACTAGACTATAGAACTAGACTATAGACTAGACTATAGACTAGACTATAGACTAGACTATAGACTAAGACTATAGACTAGACTATAGACTAGGACTATAGACTAGACTATAGACTAGACTATAGACTAGACTATAGACTAGACTATAGACTAGACTATAGACTGACTATAGACTAGACTATAGACTAGACTATAGACTAGACTATAGACTAGACTATAGACTAGACTATAGACTAGACTAAAGACTAGACTATAGACTAGACTATAGACTAGACTATAGACTAGACTATAGACTAGACTATAGACTAGACTATAGACTAGACTATAGACTAGACTATAGACTAGACTATAGACTAGACTATAGACTAGACTATAGACTAGACTATAGACTAGACTATAGACTAGATTATAGACTAGACTATAGACTAGACTATAGACTAGACTATAGACTAGACTATAGACTAGACTATAGACTAGACTATAGACTAGACTATAGACTAGATAGACTAGACTATAGACTAGACTATAGACTAGACTGTAGACTAGACTATAGACTAGACTATAGACTAGACTATAGATTAGACTATAGACTAGACTATAGACTAGACTATAGACTAGACTATAGACTAGACTATAGACTAGACTATAAACTAGATCATATGAAAGGAGTCAAGTAAATCCTGTTATTACTTTTTACCAGAAGATATAAAATTCGACCACCTAGCTGGATGTTATCCAATATCTGGAGTTGAAAAGAACTCGAGAATAAAATCTTGACATATCGATCGTTAATATCTGCATGATCAGTTTTGCTATTATTTCGCCTCAAATATGGTTAAAAAAATACGATACGATATCTCGCAAACCTTTGCTTAGCTTAGTCTATTAAAAATTGTTTCAGCATGACATAGAAATTTGATCAGAGACCCTGGAAGGCGTTTAATATGTTAATTTTTTTAGTGAGAAAGTCACATTGTGATCCAGAGTAAATCTCTACGATTAATATTTCGCGACAGCAAATGCACAAAATAATGATATTAAAAGATCACGATCAAATAGTCAAAATCCTATATATAATTGTATTTTCAAGAGAGAAGAAAATTTTTATCAAATAAATAGATGATCCTAAACATTGTTATAGTCGATGAATGAAATCAAAATGGAAGGAAATGAAATTGTATGAATTTTGTATAAAAAACAATGCTGTTAATAATAAAATTTTCAAATCAATAATTACACACACTTAGAAGTTTTTATTAAAAAAATGTTTAACAAATGCGCCAAGCTTTTAAAAACCTTTTAAAACTTTAGTATTTTTTTTTTTGTTCAAATCTTACTGTACAATTGAATAAAAAATCATGTTTTAAGCAAAGTTAAAGTTAAACTCTTAAAACGCAGAGTTGCAAGGCAATAAAGAGTAACAAAACATGATCTTTTTCTTGATTAAAACTTGCAGAGAGCAAGTGTTTTTAGGAGTTTTGAGTGTTGAACTGTGTTTTATATTAACCGTTTTAAAGTTACTTAGTGTTAAAGGAGTTTTAGTAGTATATCATTTATACATGTATCAGTTTTTGTAAGTAAGTAATTGTTTTTGTAGAGAATAAAGGGAGAAAGAGTTACTTAGTTATTTATAGAGAGTGAGAGAGAGATACAAAGAGACAGTTTGTTTTTTTGTTTTTTTTTTTAATTAGTAGATTTAACAACAATTGTTTTGGTTACCTCTGGAGGTGGTGTACTGGCTGAACTTCCCATGGATGAGATACTGGCACCATCACGTTGTGATATATAATCAATTTCAGACATGGTATCAGAATCACTATGACGTGATGTAGTACTGGGTGGTGATAAATGATCACTGGGTGTTAAAAGCACTATATCCACATCTCGGGATGATGAATCATGACTGCGTAACTGTATTTTTTTTTTTATTATTATTTTTTTTTTTTTTTTGATTAAAATGTAGTTGTAGTACGAGTAGTTGTTGTAGTTGTAGTTGATGATATTTTGATTTTTATTAATTTTTGTTGAAGGGAGGAGGGGAAGAGAGATCATAATGAACATGAAATAGTGATAATTGTAAATTAAAATAAAACTTAAAATTTTATTATTTTGATAATTTTTAATAAAAAAAGTAAAATTTGTTCCCTTCTCAAAACCAAAACTATGGCAGATTTGTTTTTTTATAACTATATATATAGAAAGAAAATTATATATCATTAAATATAAGCTGTTGATTGTTATTGGTTTTTACATAAAATTATAAACAAAATTAACTTTAAGGGAACAAGATGACGCAATGAAACTGTAGTTTATAGTTAGAATTTAAATAAAACAAATTCTGTTTGTTTAGGTGTTTTTTTCACTTTCGTACTTAAATAATTATACAAAAAATTGTTTAAGAGTTTTAAAAAAAAATACTTAAAATGTCTGTTAAGTTCGATAATAAATCATTTCGAAAGAAAACAAATTATAGAGAAATTTTTAATGAAATCATTAAGAAAAAGTCAAAAGCACATACGAGATATGAGGTATCCTGATGAGGTTGTAATTTATACCAATCTGCTTCATCATCCAATGAATGATGGGCCAAATCAATAACAACTTCGCCAATGAAATCATTGGCACCATAACGTACATAATCCCACAGGGTGACCTAGTTCAATAAAAACATTATAAAACCATTGCAATTTTTAACCTATAAACCCCAACTTACCTCTAAATATCTGCCCGTTAAATCACAACGTCTTAAACCGGTATAAACAAATGTTTGACCCCAACGAGGTTCACAGGTATTGGCTAAAGTTTTCGTGCGTCTTTTAGATTTTGTACCACGATCGGGTAAAAGGAACACCTGTGCCAAAAGATAAAACACAAATACAATTCCCAAACAATTTCTTTCAAAATTTCCACTTACTTTTGCATAAGGATTACGGGCAATACCAGTTTGACGCAGTGTCAAACCGGTGGCACATACAATTGTTACAATCAACTGTAACGTTGTCTGATCATAGCCCAATTTCATCTGTAATTCACCCTCAATATGCAGGGGTATAGGACCGACCATAGCTCCTGTATGTGAGGTTTGATGCTGCTGTTGCTGTTGTAGTGTATACGGCTGCTGGTGGTGTTGCTGTGGTCCCAAACCCGAGCCATATGTATAAGACGACGCTGACGACGTATGCGTGGCCGGTGGTGGTACTTGATGACAATGATGATGATGTGAATGATGATAATGGCCCGCCGTCGTTGTTGCTGCTGCTTGTGTCGACGATGCCGATGCTGGTGGTATTTGCGGTGGTGCTTGTGTAATACTACTACTACCGCTACTACAACTACTGACCGAATTACTGCTGTTACTAGCGGTTGATACGTTTTTTGGTCCCAAACGTTGTACTGTACTCTCGTAGGTGCGTACCACATTCGCACTGTGTCTTAGTGTAAGACCGCCTGCTGTTCCAGCACCACTAACACTACCAACACTACTACTATTATTTGCATGTAAATCGGGTGATCCGGGTGATGTTATAAGTACGCTCGGTTTATCACGATGTATTTCAAGATCATCGACTAGGGGTGCTAGAAGTGGTTGTGTGTGCGTGTGGTTATGTAATTTATATTTATATATTTCATGTTTTTTTTTGGACATTGGATTAGGCGTTCGGGAAGCATAAGGGTAAAAAAATGTTGGAGAAAAAAAAAACACAAATAGGATATTAGTTGTGCTAAGTTTTAATTTTAAATTAATTTGAATTTAAAATAAGTATAATTTTTTCACTGTCGATTCTAATTCACCGTGAACAGAAATTGCAGCAAAGTTGGCTATCGTTAGTTTCAACTAATTTTCCGGTTTTAGTAAACGAAACCTTTATTTGGATTTATTTTTCAGCTATATTTTAGATCATATTGTAATTAGAACTCTTATTCTCATTACAAATTGAGATCATTTATAAAAACTCATTCACTTTTTATGAGTTATTTCTAAAAGTAACTGTAATATAGACGAGATATATCATGATTTTATAATGAAATCTTTGCAGAAAAGATGTAACAATCGGAATATGTTGTATCCAAGGATATTCTAAAATAATAAAAAAATTATTGTCGCTCAAGGATGATCATATGTTCGAAGCTTATTTAGCAAGTAAAAGATCCACGGCTACTTTACCTACCCATGTCCGATTTCACGTTTTCCTGAAGAAACCAGTTATGCTTTGGCTATATAAGTAGCCGATTCACTACCTCTCTTTAATAAACTTTGGGCACCTACCGACTTGAAATTATCTTTAATTGGGTCAATGAAAATTATCAGTGATAGTCCAGTCATGGATTTACGATTACTACTAACTTATAATATATTGTTTTACAATACACCGTTATTGGTTTCATTTAGAGACGAAATTATCAATATCTTCCATCGTCAATATGTAGGTAGTGCCTCTGATGGATGAAAATACCCAAAAAATACTCCCGATACATCAACTTAATTCGAGTGACTCAGATAATCCAACATATACCCATTTTACCCAAAAGATAACAAATTCTTTTTGTAAAACTTTAAACTAAGTAGTTAAAATGTCATTGAATTCCGAAACGTTAAGAAGACTTGTTGGGAAATAGCCTCGTTGAAACGAACCGTTATAGGGTCGACAAGCCCTTCTTTGGCATTGCCCAAGGATGCGGAACAGCTAAATTTTAATCTTGAAATCTGAATTTACTCGCCATTGGTAAGCAATACCAGGGCTCAGACAGACAAAGGGAAAATGCTAAAAGCTATTAGAGCTCAATAAAAGCGATATCAGATTACTAACTGAACATTGTGGTCTTAGGTACCATCAATAGACTCTAGGCAACTCTATAACGAATCTATGCAGATTCTTTGGCTTACAAGAGGAAACCTCTGAACATATTTTATGTAATTGCCCATTATTAGGGTCCTGAAGAGCTAAGATCTTGGGTGTTGCCTTACTAACCAAGTTACCTTCATGAGTGAACAGAAACTATTATGGTGAACCAACGTGCTGCATAAAAGATTCACACATAGGTAGTGCTTTGTGCCCCTTCAATCTAAACTAAGCTTGACAACGTCGGGAAATAATATAAACTTATTTTAAGTAAGTGCTGATAACTGTACGATTGTGGTTGTAAACATTGTTTTAAAGGTTTTTGACATTAACATGTCCGTGCACGTCGCAACAGATTCAATTCAAGTACATCGACAACGGATGATATTGAAAGATTATAAACAGTTTGGTGTAAATTTGGTACAAGGCGTGTATATTTCTTTTTCCCTCTGTGAATGAACCTAATTTGATAGAATTCTGCAAAAAAACTTGGATGGACATGTCTTTTAATACCCTTCACCTTCGTGAGAAGGGTTTGTTACTTCTATAAGTAAGTATATAATTATATTCAGGATTCTTATAGATAACGGAGTCGATTGAGAAATGTTCGTCTGTCTTTACCTTCAGCATGTTTGTTGAAATCATTTATCTGAAGATCCAAGATATCTTTGGGGTCCTAATCTTCAACAGTTCTATTAGAGATGGTTTCGAGAAGTTTTTTATTTAAAATCGGTCCATAAATTAATAAACCCATGAAAATATTGCCAAAAAATATGAATTTTTGTCATAACATACGAAAACATAGTGTAAATAAGAGCAATTCCAGTAATTTGGTAGGACAGTCTCGAACTCCTAGTACCCCTAGTCACCGACTGCCCAGGTGACCAGCTACAAATAGATCTACAAATAGACAGACAAAAGGCTTAACTTTGTTTCTAAGTGTCCACTCTCCCGCTTACAAAGGGGGCACTAAAGTGACGATTATATTAACGCTCGTTTACCTAGAGTATTTGAGTCAACTAGATAGTTAGACGTTAGAGTCTTTTTCGGATGCATTGACTCTTAGTCGAACTGCATTTGCATTAGATTCATCTAATTTTATTGCAAAAATACGATACGTACATAATAATTGGGTTTATGTAAACCTATTATTATGTTCCGGTGAATTAGAATATTGATATAATACAGATTTGTTAGTGTTTCAAAAACATAGCCCCAACTATTCGGAATCCAGTTATCGTAGTCAAAAATCAGCAGTTTTGTCGTAATCGAAAATATTCACGACAACTAATAAAAACAACTCCGACAATAAATTCGACTACGATAACGTTAATCGAAATAGGGGAAATATCAAAATTTTAAAAAAATATTTTTATATATTCAACTCAGTAGAAGCTGAGACTAAAAAAAAAACTTTATTTCATTGTTGTAGTTATATACCTTTTCTTTGAACATAACGTCCGCCACTGCTGACCACAGCACTACCCGCTATATAACTGGCAATTGAATTACCAGGCACTTTACGATTAGACTGATTTGCAGTAGCAGCAGTAGCAGATGCCGTTGATGTTGTTGCAGCTGTTGTAGACGAATTGTTTGAACTGATAACGGGTCTTGAGACAACCAGTTCAACTTGAGCATCCAAACGACTTTCATCGATAATATCATAGACCTCATCGGCCGATTTATTTTGTAAAATATGACCATTCCATTTAATAATTTCATCACCTTTTTTAAGGTCAAAATCATAAAGTATAAAATTGTCACACACACACACATAAAAGCACGCATACATACAGTCACACAGGATGAGCACACAATATGGAGGGACGGAGATGAATGAAGATGATAAGAGAGAAGGAAAGAAAAAAACATAAAAAGATAAAATTAGTTTAGAAAATGTTTCAGTTTTTTAGTGGTTATACGAATTTGTAGCAGTTTTGACGAGTGTTATTATTACCTGGTTTTATGTGGCCCTCTATATCCGCCACTGATCCTCTTTTCACCTTTTCCACTACAGCACCATAACTTGTGAGATGTGTAACACCACTACCACCACCAGCAGCACCACCAATTAAATGACTACTTTGTTCGTAGGTTACCGGTTGACCACCCAATACTTTTAAGCCTAGAATATCTTCGCCATCGTAGTATTTACGTAATATCATATGACCAATCATGCGAGTATTGTCCGCCGATATTTGCCAATTCACCGGTTGCTATTTTTGTTTACATATTTTTGGATTTTTTGTGATCGTTTTAAGTTTAGGTTTTGGTCGAATTTTTATTTTTGTGGGCAATTTCGTTATATGTTGGTCAATTTGATTTTTGATTTTACATAACATGGTAGGATTTTCAAAATGTTTAGTATATTTTTGGATTTTGGTTTGGATTTCAAAGTTCCAATCACATAAAATGGAAAATGTATATGTCAATATAGGTTTAATGAATTCACAGTAAGTAATAGTAGTAAAAGGTAAAAATTATAATAACAATTTATAAAATTATTTTTAAATTTATAAATTGTGGTTAGTAGTTTCTTTTTTTTTTAATGATAATAATTTTTACAAAAGAGTTTTTTTCTTTTTAATAACATTGTCATACTTAAACTAGACAGTTAAGAAGAAAATAATAATAATGACTTTTTTACAAATTAATCATTACAAGACTTAATGGAGACAAAAAAAGAGAGAAGCTTAATTTCTAAGTATTTTTTTTTTGTAATAGTAACAGGCTTACATCAATATGTAACTTTCATTTCATATTTTTCGATATATGATATTTATAAATATCTGTTTTTTTTATATTGTTAGAGCTTTCAAACGCAATTTATGGCAGAGAACACATACGTATAAGAAACTTGTTTGTTATAAATTTTATTTTTATAGGAATTTCTAAATAAAATGCAAGTGCAAAGTTGTGGTTGAGAAAAAACAGTTATAAATTATAAATAGGTGGTGCTTTAAATAAAAGCCATGCATAGGTGTTAAAGGAAATTAAATTGATTTCAGTTTTAACATTTGAAATTTTTTTAAATGGAGCACCTCAATATAATCTGTTCTTCTAATATCATACGCAGTTTTTAGAAATTTTTATTTTGAATATAAATCTCGGGCAATATTATTAATACTGTAATAAATATTCCCAGTTGATAGTGAGGTATTTTCGAGTTAATTTTTTTGTAAACGTAGTCTCAACGAAGGCAAACGATGGCCCCTAAATCTGTTCATATCGATATATATTTTTAATAGCAAAAAGTCCTTTACATACGATCATAATGGAAATGTTTTATATTGTTACATAATGCCATATAACCTTAGGGTTCTAAAAATGTATCCAATGATTGTACTCAACTGATCAAGAACCGAACTAGAACTGAACTAGAACTGAACTAGAACTGAAGTAGAACTAAACTAGAACTGAACTGAACTAGAGCTGAACTAGAGCTGAACTAGAACTGAACTAGAACTGAACTGGAACTGAACTAGAACTGAACTAGAACTGAACTCGAACTGAACTAGAACTGAACTAGAACTGAACTAGAACTGAACTAGAACTGAACTAGAACTGAACTAGAACTGTACTAGAACTGAACTAGAACTGAACTAGAACTGAACTAGACTGAACTAGAACTGAACTAGAACTGAACTAGAACTGAACTAGAACTGAACTAGAACTGAACTAGAACTGAACTAGAACTGAACTAGAACTGAAATAGAACTGAAATAGAACTGAACTAGAACTGAACTAGAACTGAACTAGAACTGAACTAGAACTGAACTAGAACTGAACTAGAACTGAACTAGAACTGAACTAGAACTGAACTAGAACTGAACTAGAAACTGAACTAGAACTGAACTAGAACTGAACTAGAACTGAACTAGAACTGAACTAGAACTGAACTAGAACTGAACTAGAACTGAACTAGAACTGAACTAGAACTGAACTAGAACTGAACTAGAACTGAACTAGAACTGAACTAGAACTGAGCTAGAACTGAACTAGAACTGAACTAGAACTGAACTAGAACTGAACTAGAACTGAACTAGAACTGAACTAGAACTGAACTAGAACTGAACTAGAACTGAACTAGAACTGAACTAGAACTGAACTAGAACTGAACTAGAACTGAACTAGAACTGAACTAGAACTGAACTAGAACTGAACTAGAACTGAACTAGAACTGAACTAGAACTGAACTAGAACTGAACTAGAACTGAACTAGAACTGAACTAGAACTGAACTAGAACTGAACTAGAACTGAACTAGAACTGAACTAGAACTGAACTAGAACTGAACTAGAACTGAACTAGAACTGAACTAGAACTGAACTAGAACTGAACTAGAACTGAACTAGAACTGAACTAGAACTGAACTAGAACTGAACTAGAACTGAACTAGAACTGAACTAGAACTGAACTAGAACTGAACTAGAACTGAACTAGAACTGAACTAGAACTGAACTAGAACTGAACTAGAACTGAACTAGAACTGAACTAGACTGAACTAGAACTGAACTAGAACTGAACTAGAACTGAACTAGAACTGAACTAGAACTGAACTAGAACTGAACTAGAACTGAACTAGAACTGAACTAGAACTGAACTAGAACTGAACTAGAACTGAACTAGAACTGAACTAGAACTGAACTAGAACTGAACTAGAACTGAACTAGAACTGAAACTAGAACTGAACTAGAACTGAACTAGAACTGAACTAGAACTGAACTAGAACTGAACTAGAACTGAACTAGAACTGAACTAGAACTGAACTAGAACTGAACTAGAACTGAACTAGAACTGAACTAGAACTGAACTAGAACTGAACTAGAACTGAACTAGACTGAACTAGAACTGAACTAGAACTGAACTAGAACTGAACTAGAACTGAACTAGAACTGAACTAGAACTGAACTAGAACTGAACTAGAACTGAACTAGAACTGAGACTAGAACTGAACTAGAACTGAACTAGAACTGAACTAGAACTGAACTAGAACTGAACTAGAACTGAACTAGAACTGAACTAGAACTGAACTGAACTAGAACTGAACTAGAACTGAACTAGAACTGAACTAGAACTAGAACTGAACTAGAACTGAACTAGAACTGAACTAGAACTGAACTAGAACTGAACTAGAACTGAACTAGAACTGAACTAGAACTGAACTAGAACTGAACTAGAACTGAACTAGAACTGAACTAGAACTGAACTAGAACTGAACTAGAACTGAACTAGAACTGAACTAGAACTGAACTAGAACTGAACTAGAACTGAACTAGAACTGAACTAGAACTGAACTAGAACTGAACTAGAACTGAACTAGAACTGAACTAGAACTGAACTAGAACTGAACTAGAACTGAACTAGAACTGAACTAGAACTGAACTAGACTGAACTAGAACGAACTAGAACTGAACTAGAACTGACTCGAACTAACCCTAGAACTGAACTAAACTGAACTAGAACGGAACTAGAAATGAACTAGAACTGAACTAGAACTGACTAGAACTAACTAGAACTGAACTAGAACTGAACTAGAACTGAACTAGTAACTGAACTAGAACTGACTAGAACTGAACTAAACTGAACTAGAACTGAACTAAAATGAACTAGACTGAACTAGAGACTGAACTGAGAACTGAACTAGAACTGAAACTAAGAACTGAACTAGAACTGAACTAGAACTGAAATCTACGAACTGAACTAGAACGAACTATGAACTTGAACTAGAACTGAACTAGACTGAACCTAGACTGAACTGAAATGAACTAAAACTGACTCTAGAACTGAACTAGAACTGAACTAGAACGAACTAAACCAAATCAACATAAATGACAACGTACTGCAGAAAGAGTCCGTATATAAAGCCTATAAGTAATTCAAACAGAAAATTACTCGAGGTTATCACTGACATACTCGCTTTTAGGCAATTTTCAACAGTTTAGTATTTTTTTGTTAATAATAATCAATTTAATTTTTTAACACAGTTTAAAAAATTGTAGGATTTGCTCGATTTTTATTTACAATAAATTGTGCAGTTTTTTGTGGGGAATAAAATGTGTGAGGCAAAATAATAATAACAATAATATAACATGCAACATATTGACAACAATTAAAGCATTTTAAAAACCAGAGTTGATTTGAACTAAAAATTAATAAAAAAAAATATATGGTGATTGTATTTCAATTTCAATTTCATTTTCAGCACAAAAAAGGTAATTGATATTTTTGTTTATTGGCTAAATGTTATGAATGTATGTTTTTGAAAAAAGTAAATAATTTTAAATAAATAAATGTTTAGTAAAGTGTTTATATATAAAGTGGTTATAGGTATGTAAGTGTAGGTATTGTATATAGAGTTATTGTAGTTTATATATATGGAAATATTAAGTAATAGGTAGTTTTATATACAAACCGCAAAAGGTTTCAGTTTTTTGTTTGAATCGAATTATAAACAAATTTTAACTTTTGAGTTATTTTTTGGGGTGGGGGGAGAAATTTTAAATATTTTACAAAAGTCAGTTGTAAATCTGTTCAAATCTTTTTTTGTTTGCTTTCTGTTAAATTGGACGTTATCACATAAGTTGTTTAATAGAACAATAAAAAAACCCAAAAAGGAAATAAAAACTAAAGAAAAATTTTAAATACAAACTCAACACAAACAGAGTGTAAAAGATCCTTTAGAAGACACAGAGTACACACTACAAACGTGTTAAATAGTATTTTTAAATTTTCACTCAAAATATTTTTGCATTTCAAATTTTATCAAGCGTTCAATTTCATGTTGTTGTTTTTATTTTTAACTACCTTAAGGCCATCACCACGATTGGAATCTTCACTACTGGTAAAGGTACTGCTGGTATCAATACCCGAATCCTTGGTGGCAGAATCTTGACTTCCCTGCCGCTCACTGTCCCACTGACGAGACCAGTTATTGGCATTGTCACTTAAACTACTATTATTAGTGGCAGTGTTTGTGGCGCCCAATTTGGCGCTGGTCAATATTGTGGCCACGCCCACATCCACCGCCGTCGAAGGTAAAATGGTGGTGACCGGCGGTAGAGACGTTAGGCCTGGCACTAATGGATCTTCATCGTCGTGTGCATCAAAACGTACTGTCTTTTTTATTCTACGTTCCGTAAAGCGACGTGAATCTTGAGCTTTGTTCGATAGTGTTGAGCCAGGACTGGGAAATTCATCTAGATAACCATCTACCAAGCTACGTTCACGACTTAAACTACGTGTGGTGGCCCCTTCAGCTGTTGATCCCGTTAATGATGCCATAGTTGCACTACCGCCTATATAACGTTCATATAGAGATGTGGCGTTTGATGAGGCTTTAGAAGCCAATGTATGTCCAGTATCGCCTATAACGATTTGTGGCTGTTTATGGTTGTGCGTATAGTTGCTACCGGCCACACCTCTGGAGGCAGCAGTAGCCAAGGGTGGAGCTCTTCTAACACCATAAAATGTCTCACTACCACCACTAAGACCTCCTCCTGCAACTCGACCGCCTTCAAGGCCCGTACTTAGACCCACGGTTTGCCGATCGTGATTAGAGCGATTAAATGTATTACGCTGTTGTACATCCAAGCGTGCTGTACGTGTTAAAGGATATTTTTCCAGTCTTTCACGATGCAAATCGTAACGATCACGATCTGCTGATGAATACAAACGATTGCTAGACGACAATCGATGGTAGTCCGAGGCATATGAATTGCTTACACTTAAAAGATCACGTTCGTTAAGACTTCGTTGCTGGCGCCAGGGTTCCACACGCAAAGATGCTGCAAGATTTTCAAGAGTTGAACACAAGAAAATGATAGTAGTTTCTGTTGTTGGAAAATTCATAACAATTTCAATTGTTTATTTTATTTTTGTTGGGGGCATAGACATTTTATTACAAGGGTTTTTATTTTGGTACTCTATTGGTTTCAGGTTATTGGTATACATCCTCTCTTGGTATTTTTTATTGAATTTATTAGGCTGTTTGAGTTTTGATGGGATTTATATATTTGGGATATTTAAGGAGTTTTATACAAATACAAATTGTTGGAAATTTTATATATAAAAAAATGTTTTGTTTTATGCTTAAATATGTTAGAGTATTTGTGTAAGTAGTTACGATGAAATATTGCATTATTTTGTAATGTCCAAAATGTTATATTTGTTTCAAAATTTTAGCTTAGGTTTAGATGATTTTCAAAGAAATTTAGATATTTCCTATTTTTATCTGTTTAATCTACATTTAGATAATTCCTTGTTTTTCCTTTAAAATTTTAGTTGTTTTTAAAACATTATAAAAAACGCCATACTGCGACATTTTTTAGTTTTGAAATTATTTGATATTTCGGACATTAAAAAATTTATGAAAATAAATTATTATTGACTTTAGATAGTATCCTTTTTATAATGATTTGCTCTTGTTACACCCTATCTCAACCCTGGTATTGTTGCGCAATTACAAAGCATTACGATCGTTGTTTATTATTTTAATTTTCAGTCAGAGTCATCTAAGATCTATTTGAATAACTTTATGATGTTGACTTATCTGAGTTTTGATCAATTAATTTCTAGTCATTAGGTCTATTTCTTTGTTTCGTGAGTTTATCAACAATAGAATTACCAGTCTTACGTCCAATATCGTCTTATCCTGTAGAGTCTCAAACCGAAACCCTTCTTAAAGTCAAATCCTACCAATTGTGCATGATCATGATGATTTTCTGTGGCAGTTGTAAGATTTAAATCATTTATAAAATGTTTATGGATACACAAATTTTACACCGTCCAACAGTAATTTTCACACATGAAAAAACAGAACCATTTGTATTAACTCTATGTACTCAGTTTTTCATAATCAGCTCTTAAGTCTCTGTTAAAGGACCTTAAATAAAGGACATACGATTTTAAAAGATGGAATTCTAAATTTACATTAACAATTTGGTGTTAATATTAAATACAGCCGAGAATTTCTGCTTCAAAATAATATTATTTATTTCAATTCATTATGATTTTAATCCTGTAGGATTAAAAAAGAAATGGAAGCTTAAAAAAAACTTGCTAAATATGTACCCTAGTTTCACATGTATATCAACTTTTCTATGTGTGAAAGCTTTTTTTTGCAAAATTCCCAGCACATTGACAAAGTGTTAATATATCCGAAATAGAAAGTATGCTAAAGAGTGGACATTTAAAGAAACTTAAGCTTTTTGTCTGTATCTTCGTATTCTTCGAGTGACGATTGACTTACTGGTAGGACAAGCACATGTTAAAATAGCTAGTCAGCTAGGCTAGGTTGGGTTAAATAGATAGTTCGTGGCAGTCCGACCGAATTGCTGGTTGGTACTTTCTAGTTAGTTAGTTAGTTAGTTAGTTAGTTAGTTAGTTAGTTAGTTAGTTAGTTAGTTAGTTAGTTAGTTAGTTAGTTAGTTAGTTAGTTAGTTAGTTAGTTAGTTAGTTAGTTAGTTAGTTAGTTAGTTAGTTAGTGTTAGTTAGTTAGTTAGTTAGTTAGTTAGTTAGTTAGTTAGTTAGTTTTTTTAAAGCTTATTGAAACTACCAATTAGTTAGTTAGTTAGTTAGTTAGTTAGTTAGTTAGTTTAGTTAGTTAGTTAGTTAGTTAGTTAGTTAGTTAGTTAGTTAGTTAGTTATTCGTTAGTTAGTTAGTTAGTTTAGTTAGTTCGTTAGTTAGTTGTTAGTTAGTTAGTTAGTTGTTAGTTCGTTAGTTAGTGTTAGTTAGTTAGTTCGTTGTTAGTTAGTTGTTTTAGTTAGTTCGTTCGTTAGTTAGTTAGTTAGTTAGTTCGTTAGTTCGTTATTGTTAGTTCGTTCTTGTTGTTAGTTAGTTCGTTCGTTCGTTCGTTCGTTCGTTTCGTTCGTTCGTTCGTTCGTTTCGTTCGTTAGTTCGTTCGTTCGTTCGTTCGTTCGTTCGTTCGTTCGTTCGTTCGTTCGTTCGTTCGTTCGTTCGTCGTTCGTTCGTTTCGTTCGTTCGTTCGTTCGTTCGTTCGTTCGTTCGTTCGTTCGTTCGTTCGTTCGTTCGTTCTTTCGTTCGTTCGTTCGTTCGTTCGTTACGTTCGTTCGTTCGTGTTCGTTCGTTCGTTCGTTCGTTCGTTCGTTCGTTAGTTCGTTCGTTCGTTCGTTCGTTCGTTCGTTCGTTCGTTCGTTCGTTCGTCGTTCGTTCGTTCGTTAGTTCGTTCGTTCGTTCGTTCGTTCGTTCGTTCGTTCGTTCGTTCGTTCGTTCGTTCGTTCGTTCGTTCGTTCGTTCGTTCGTTCGTTCGTTCGTTCGTTCGTTCGTTCGTTCGTTCGTTCGTTCGTTCGTTCGTTCGTTCGTTCGTTCGTCGTTCGTTCGTTCGTCGTTCGTTCGTTCGTCGTTCGTTCGTTGTTCGTTCGTTCGTTCGTTCGTTCGTTCTTCGTTCGTTCGTTCGTTCGTTCGTTCGTTCGTTCGTTCGTTCGTTCGTTCGTTCGTTCGTTCGTTCGTTCGTTCGTTTTCGTTCGTTCTTTCGTTCGTTCGTTCGTTCGTTCGTTCGTTCGTTCGTTCGTTCGTTCGTTCGTTCGTTCGTTCGTTCGTTCGTTCGTTCTTTCGTTCGTTCGTTCGTTCGTTCGTTCGTTCGTTCGTCGTTCGTTCGTTTCGTTCGTTCGTTCGTTCGTTCGTTCGTTCGTTCGTTCGTTCGTTCGTTCGTTCGTTTCGTTTCGTTCGTTCGTTCTTCGTTCGTTCGTTCGTTCGTTCGTCGTCGTTCGTTCGTTCGTTCGTTTCGTTCGTTCGTTCGTTCGTTCGTTTCGTTCGTTCGTTCGTTCGTTCGTTCGTTCGTTCGTTCGTTCGTTCGTTCGTTCGTTCTCGTTCGTTCGTTTCTTTTCGTTCGTTCGTTCGTTCGTTCGTTCGTTCGTTCGTTCGTTCGTTCGTTCGTTCGTTCGTTCGTTCGTTCGTTCGTTCGTTCTTCGTTCGTTCTCGTTCGTTCGTTCGTTCGTTCTTCGTTCGTTCGTTCGAGTAGTTCGTATCGTTCGTATAGTTACGTTCGTTCGTTCGTTACTGTTCGTTCGTTACGATTCGTTAGTTCGTTCAGTTCGTTCGTTTCGTTTACGTTCGTTTCGTTCGTTCGTTTTTTCACAGCTTCTTGCCCCTACCACACGTCCCTACTACTTTTCTTTTACTCTCTACCACTCGCCGTCCGCCTTCAAGTCCCCTCCTCCACCAAGTACCCCTTACGCCCTGTAACCTAGATTAAGTGAATACCCTTAATATGTTTTATTTCGTTTAACTTAACTCTTAAAAAAAAACGATTGCATACTTAACCTGTGGCCTAAAATAAAGAAAGTTTTTCAAAATTTGTGTTTCACTTTTTTTAAGATAAAAATAACTTAGTGTTTATGACGAATTTGTTTTGAGTGTTTTTGGTGTTGTTGTGAAAAAAATCTTGTTTTTTTGTAAAAATTACTTAAAATTAAAAAAAAAAAACTTTGTGTTAACTGTGTGTGTTATTGTGGGTGAATATTGAATTGTTTTCATTTTGGTGTAGAAAAAAGTTTTTATAGTTTTAATTTGAATTGAGTCGTTTAAAACAGCATTACGATATCCATGCAAATTTTCCACATTTTCATAGCAAAAATTTACAATATTTAGTTGAATTTATAGTTTTTTTTCTTAATACTTAAAAGTTAAAAAAAATAAGTATTAAAAGGATTTGTTGAGTTTAGGGGAAAAAATTATAAGAAATTGAGTAAAAATAGAAAAAATTTAGTGTGAAGGTGTAGTTGGATAGTTTTGTAGGGATAAAAGTGTATAAAAACGGCTTGAACAGGCAAGACAAGACAAATACTTAGAGTAGTAGAGTTAAAGACTAGAGAAACAACATCAATTCTTAAGATTTTTTTGTTTTGGAATAAAAAAAAATATTTAAAAAAAACTTTTTTATTGGGAAGCAAAAACCAACACCTTGAAGTTTTTTTTTTATACACAAACACATACACAATAATTATAAATATAAATAAAATACAAATAAATTTTCCCAAGAAAAGCAAAGTGTAGATTTTGATAAACAAAAAAATATACATATTTGTGCCAGGAAGAGTTTGTAAGAAATTAAAAAAAAAATATATATATAGAACGCAAAGATCACATTGATATGACATTCCAAGGAAATAATTTTCATTTCAGTTTTTGATTTGTGGTTAGTAATTCCATTTATATAGTTATAAAATAATAATTAAAAAATAATAAAAATTTAAAAACAATTTAAAGAAATTTTCTCTTACATTTGCATGAATCTGTAAGTCGCCGGGCGTTAATACACCACCAACAACAACACCAGAACTAGTTGCTGAAACACCACCAATTTTACCTGATCAAACGTTACGAGGTTTAGATTTACAAAAAGAGATAGAGTGAGGGCATGTTAATACATGTCAGGGGCGTGGGCGTGGTAAATTTGTTTTGAAGACACACAAATACACACATGTTTAGATATTTCATAGGTGAAGGATGTGGGGTTGTTGGTTTGGTTGGTTGTTTGGTTGATTGTGTTTTTTTATTGTTGTTGTGAAGGGGTCACAGGTCACACACAGTTTACAACACATACACACACACACAAAGTTGGTTTTGCACAGGAAGTTTTGAGATTTGTTTTTGTTTGTTAACAATTTATTTTGTTGTTGTTGTTTTTATTGGGGGTGGAAAGGAAATATATATAAAAAAATGAAAAAATATATAAAATAAATTAATTAAAATTTTCGTTTTTGTATGAAATTTTTTTATAAAGTATTATTTTTTTTTTCAATAGCAAGGAATATTAAGGGAGTT